TTAATCACAGTTACTTACAAGGCTTAACACTGTTACAGGTTTCACCTCCTTAGTGCCATTTTAATGATATGAGTTGAAGTACAGCTGCACAAACATGTCTTACTCATGTGGGGCTTAGATGAAAGACAGTTACACTGTTACTTTGAAAAGTTGTCTTTGTGTAATTTGTGCTATTTGTTTATCAACATCAAACAGGACGTGCTGAGGAAATGCAACAAGAATCCCAAGGCAAAAGGCATTCACCTCGAAAGCGAGGGGCCGGTAATGACTTACTTGTCTATTTTTTAAACATGCCTTAGTGTTATCAACAAACTGCATCCTTTTTAAATCAAGCAGGTACAAAACATTTTAATGAAATTAAAATACCAATATTTTTTTTGGACTTTTTTTGAATATCAAGGAACACAATTCCTGGACAATGTAATATGTCATAATTATGACATTTTAATGTGAATGCTCTTAAATAGGGGTATATTCATTTTCTGACAGACCCTACTAGGGACTCAGACCAGTTTGCATCAAATGCAGATTCTTCTTACATATCTGGAAAGCGACAAAAATTTGACTTACTTTTAAAAAGAAGGAACTATGTTCCTTTATATTTGTTGGAAATCTGTGGATTTTTTCTTGCTAACTGTCACCCAGAATGCTTTTACATCTCATGTTCATCTCACTTTAGACACTTTTGTCACAGGGTGATCAGCAAACTAATTTATTACTTATAATTTTAAGGGGCAAAATCCATATGATCATGATTTAAATTCACCGGTGAGAACAATACTCCACAGGAATCATTAGTGGGGTTGACTAAGCAAGGCTTTAAGTTGCAACTGTTTTGGTTGCCATGGCAACTGACACTACCCAGCTGTAACATTCTTTACAAGAGAAAAAAAAACCGTTTTTCATAATGCAATCCTTATTGAAGTGCTTAAAGTTTACAATTGCCACATAGCACTATAATCTCAGACATTAAGTGGTATGGTCAGTTGTCTGGTTGAATAGTTTTCTTTGTGTAATTTTTGCCATTCATTTATTGACATCTAACAGAATGTGTTGAGGAAATTGATCAGGAGTCCCAAGGCAAAAGGCATTCAC